ATGTAAAGGTAAAATCTTATAGTATGGAATTCAAAAAGTCTGTTGAAAACTTACTGCCAGAGAATGAGGATAGTCAAAAAAATTCACATGAAAATAATCTACTTTCATGTATGTCTTCATTATTAAATAAGGTCTGTAAAAGAAAGCCTAAATTATCTAAAACGAGTGAAAAGGTGAATTGCCCGTCAAACAGCAAAGGTCTGACGTCAAATAGTCAAAAAATACCGTCAAACAGTCAAGAAGAACCGTCAAACCGCCCGAATGAAACAGTAATAGCTTATAAAAATGAATTCAAAAAGTCCATTGGAAAAATAAATGATATTTTACACGAGAGAATCCTTGAGAATTGCGCAACGTTCGCCCTGGGTATTCATTATTTGTCAATCGCAATGCGAGATCTATCAAATAAAAGCGAAGAGTACGATCAATATAACGATTTACTACCGCCAGAGAGTACTGTGGAAGATTTAATACGCGCTGATGACTATAATTTCAACGTTGAAAGCTCATTTCCCCAATTACTCACGAACGCATTTCAAGAAAGCGATTCTAAGATGAAGGATTTGGTAAAGCCCATCTTGGATAGAAATACGTACATGCAGAACCATCCGAGACAAATTTTATTCTACGATCTGTTGTATCGAGGCGAACACGATATCGATCAAGTGGGCTCGCCAAAAGACAGCGAATCTGATGATTTGGCTTTGCTTCGTAACGTCACTTTAGCGACAAGATTGGAAGACGGCACTCATCCCAACATACAGCTATTGTTTTCGATAGCACTGCGGTTTTTCGACGTCAAATGTATTGAGTCGTTCCAACAGCAAGTGCTGGCAGCAACGGCCCATCCCGTGTTCTCAGTCATCGGTTCTTACGTGTATTTGGTCAAAGATATATTTTACAAGGGTAACGGAAAATTTCAAGACGTCGCTACGAGGGCCAAGTTGTTCCAAGAGACAGTCGACAATTTGGGCAATTCCATATTGACTACGCTGGTCGGTTTCATACAATTAGGTCTTTATCCAAATAAACCTTTAGGGTGTTTAAAAAAAACCCAGCGGTTACTGGTCAAATTAATCACGTACAGCGATAAGGCAAACTTACAGAAGGACACACCACAATTGATTTATGATTTGTGTACTAGTTGTTCCTATCCAATGAGGATTAACAAACTGATAGTGTCGTATACGCGGGAGCTTAATAACGTAGATTCTAAAGAAAATTGCAACAATTCCATAAATGCGGTAAAAAGGAAAGCCGATATGGTCGAGAAATACGTGAAAACTTTGGAAAAATACGAAAACATCTACAAAGGGGTTATTAATAGTCAGTTCTTTTTTCATGAAGACATATTTTCGCACAAACCGGAATGTGACATTATAGAAGAAACAAAATATGGTATACTCACATTTATGGATATACTGTCATGTCAACTAGTTAATATACTTTTTTCGTTTTTCTCAAAAATACAATTTTTCTAAGATAATTTTGAAAAACTCAATTTTTAGGCATTTATATTTAACTTTTATTTAGTTATAGTATATATTCTTTACGCGCCATTCAGTTTTTATGATTTTTTTCCTGTTTTTTTACGTTACCATTTTTTTAGTCCTTACCACACCACCCAACTCTTTCTAATTTGAAATAATAACTTTCATTTAATAACACTAGTTTTATTTTAGGCGTTGCGGTATATTATTTTTATATACATTTTTATTATTTTCTTACTTTTATTTTAGGGTATAACATACTTGGGAAGCAGACCTAAAGTCAAAACATATCAAGAAAGAAATTTGCTAAATGCTAAAATTTGTTTGAATACACATTATTGTAATTTCATCTCTTAGAAGATAACCTCTTTTAAACTTTATTATTATACATTATGTTTTTGATGATTGAAGAGATTTAAAAATGTGTGCAAATTATATTACTTTTAAAACGATTTATTTTATGCACTTGTAAGGGTTATTGGGTGAACTTTTTTTTAAAAATAAATCAATCTTGAAAAAGAAGTACTAATATTTTTACCGATAGTATTACGCTTTGAAATTATATGGTAAGCAAACATTTTAATTCGGCCATAGAATTAAAAGCCTTACATTGAATTTTGAGCTTTACACTTAAATTTTTATTGATAGGGTTTTAACACATGGAGTATGGCAATATATTGATACAACGCTTTGATGCTAATTTGTTAACACATCTAAATTGAATACTTTCTTACTGTGCTGGTATATACTTGGCTTGGTTTGACTGATTCGCATCAAGCTCTTATTTGATCCGACTTCAGATTGTATAGCAAATATTTTAATTCGGCCACAAAGCAAAAGCCAAACATTGATTTTTTAAGCGTTACAATTAAGTTTTAATTTATATGGTTATAACAATCGGAGTATGGCAATTTATTAATACAAAAATATATCAATTTCGGTCTAAATTTTAACTAAATGTTTACAATGTTTGCTAATTGTATACGATTTAGACACATGCTCCTCTCAGGTCAATGAATTGCTCTCCATAGTAAACAATGTTTAGTAATTGTCCCATTCGGTCCCCTAACTATGCCCTGACCCCACATCACTGGTTTATGTTCTATATTCATTTAAAATATTTTGAACAGATTTTATGGATTTCCTTATCGGTAATATTTATTAATTTAGTTCTATTGTGTTTTAAAAACTATTTATTAAAACAAGAAAAGAATATGTTTTGTGTTGAATTATTCAAACCATGAACATAGTATATATACAAAATTAACATATTTTACAATTGTGGTGTAAAAAATAAAATTCAGCAAAATTTCAGGTGCAGAATTTTAAAGTAACTACATTATTTTTACAAAATACGGTCTGATACAAAAACAAATAATATATAGGTACCGCTTAACGGTGTTTTTTAATGTTCTTATAAATTCTTAAAAATATATGTTTAGGCTTTACTTTTGGTGTCAACACCTTTTCGTCGTTTTGGGTTAGTCAAATATACGCACAACACATGTAGTATTCTACGCCAAATCTTGCACCGTAATTTGAATTTTTTATCTCGATGTGAACAAAAAAAAAAAAAAAAAAAAATAGTACAGTCAGTACCGGAATACTATTTATTTTAAATTTAAAAATGTACTTGCATGTATTGTATAGAGTTTACTAAAATATTTCCGAGGCATTCCTAGTAAATGTTTGATAAAAATGTCAACTCGATCAGACCATTTTTCACAAATTTATAGCAAATAAATTGATAAATAAAAAAATTGCATTAATTTTATGTAGGGGGGGGGGGTATCACACAATGCTCCGTTCTCACTATGCCCCGACACCTTTGTACTGGTATTTTCTATACTTTAGTCAAACAAGCTTATTATAAGTAAGAGAATGAAAACAGAAAAATGTGATTTTTGAACCGATAATACAAAAACCAAGCTATGTAGATATTAAGAAAGCAGACGACGATAAAATTCTATGTTTCTGCAGTCGATAAAAAAAAAATAGCATAACATGCATTCTCAAATTAATATACGGATTTCTATAAGATATTCAAAAATCAGTCTTCCTTAAACCTGGTTACCGGACCAACACAAATTACACATGACCTTAAAATGTCATTGTATGCTGAATTCGAATAATGTTCTACGTAGGTCGTTTAAGAAGAGTAGTTAATTAACATGTATAATTGTTTTATAATATAATACATTAAAAAATCTCTATTGGGATTGGTAATTTTCAAAATATGCAACATAGTTATGGTTGCATACTCAAGAGTTATATCATTTAAAGGTACAACCACCAGCTTAGCCCCTCGGGCGATATATATATATATATATATAAATCTATAAGGGGGACCTAACCTAGCCCTTCTCAGCTGTCGTAAGTTAAACAGTGTGTGGTGTTGTTTTACATTGTTGTATTTGTATGATATCCCAAAATACTCATACAAAACAAACAAATTGCAAAAAAAAACATTTTTTACAATCAAGTACGTACCTACCAAACTGTGTCAGTATAGTCTATGTTATAGTGTATGTTTCTTAAAGTTGTAAGTTGTTTTGTTGTTAAATTCAAAATATTACTTAAAAATACTATATTACCATGATTTTGTACAAGTGTTTAGTATTATTCGTTTTCATGATTTCCTTTGTCCGAACGGATAACGCGAAACCATGCTATTATTCCAGGTACATTTTTATTGTTATATTCTTGATCAAGGCAATACATTTTTTAATTTCTAAATAATATCTTCATATTACATACTACACCGAACTATAGTTAAGGATAGAGACTTAACTCACTTCTATAATATAACATTGTCGTTTTAAGCTAACCGTCATGGTTTACCACATTATTCATTATATTACCATGATATTATTCGAGAGTTTAGTTGTATTTGTTAAAACGAAAATCATTAAACATTGTATTTTTTCTAGGCACATGCTTTTTGTTTTCAAATACTATGAATTTAAATTCGATGGGCAATTCAAAAATTGCAAAGAAGATTCTTCGACTTTTGAAGAACTTAAAAAGTTTGGTGGTTCGTTATTAGCTCAAGGCCAGAACGTTATGGCGATTCTCGATGACCTGATGACGGAAAACTACCAAAAATCATCCAATCGGCCTGACGACATAATGGCGATCAATTTATACTTGAACAATGTTTTTTGTACATTAATGGTACGAACCTTCGACGGGAAGGATATAGTGTCAAACAAACCGCATGAAAAGGTAAAAGCTTATAGTAGGGAAATCAAAAAGTCCTTTGAAAAAATAATTATTAACTTACAAAACAGCATCGTTGAGAATTGCGGATCTTTCTCCCTGGACAAATCGTTAACGAGAATAATATCGCGAGACTCAAGATCTAAAAGTCAAGAATACGATCATTTGAACGCATTATTACCGGAAATATCTACTATGAATAATATTTATTATAGATATGGGTATAATAATTACATTTTACCTCCACCAGGTCAATTATACTTGAACGCCTATAACGATAGCATTTATGAGATGACGTATTTGGTGAAGCCGTTTTTTAACAGACAAACGTACATGCGATACAGCCCGAATAAAATTTTATTGTTCGATCTGTTGTATCGAGGCGAACACGATACCGACCAAGAAAGCAAACCCGACGATTTGGCACTGCTTCGAAACGTTACTTTAGCGACAAGATTGGAAGAAGGCACGTATCCCAACATAGACCTGTTGTTTTCGATAGCACAGCGGGTTTTCAACGTCAAATGTGTGGAGTCGTTCCAACAGCAAGTGTTGGTAGCAACGGCTCAGCCCGTGTTGTCGGTCGTCGGTTCGTACTTATGTTTGGTCAAACAAATGTTTTACACGGGTGACGGAAAACTTCTAGACATTGCCACTAGAGCCACGTTGTTCGAAGAGAGAATCAACGATCTGGGCGATTTCGTATTGAACGTTTTCGTCGGTTTCATACGTTTGGGCCTTTATCTGGAAAAGGATTTAGATTATTTAAAAAAAACCGCACTGGGACTGGACGACTTAGTCAAGCACAACGATAAAAAAAACATGCAGGTTGGTGCAGAATGGATCGGTCAAATATTTAGGCGTTGTTCCAATCCAATGTCGCTTAACTATCTGACAGAGTTGAATGAAGAGGAATTCGTCAACGTCAACTCCGCAGAAAATTACAACAATGCGATAAACACGTTAATAATGAAAGCCGGTTTGGTCGGGAATTACGTGACTACTTTGGACAAATACAAAAACATCTATCAAGAGGTAGTTTTCGAGAACCCGTTCTTTTTTCACGACTACATGTTTTTGTACAGACCGGAATGTGACATCATAAAAGATACGAGACATGGTAAATTCACATATATTAATACACTGGCATGTCAACTGTAATGGCGCTGGTGAACATAAATTTATAGTAATTCTCAAAAATAATAATTGCTCTTAATTTTTCGCCATTTTTTCCAAATTTTTTTTTAAAACTCCATTTTTTTTTGGAAATTATCTAATTTTTATTTAGTAAAAGTATATTTTTTTTCTCTCACCGCCCAACTTACTCTACTCGAAAATAATAACCCCTTACTTTGGTATAGTAACACCAATGTATTACTTTAAGCGTCGCAAGATATCCATTCTTTTTTTCATTATTGTATTGAATATTTACATCTATACAATATGCACAACAGTAAAAAATGAATAAATAGTATAACATGAAGTGGGGGGACACCCAATGGTGCTACCTACATTGATTTTTGAGTTTTTGTTTATTTAATTGTTTATAGGTGGTCTCTGCATCATTTTATTTTTAATCTTCTTGGCGGGTTATCTGGGATATGACTAGAAGATAGGTAGTTTATATTAGGAATGGTCTGAGAGTTGAATTTTATATGAAGGTTTTTGTAGGCAGTTTTTGCGATCTTGTTTACATAGTTAATTTGTAGATCAGAATGAAGGGTTTTATTTGAAATATACCAAGGGGAATTAGTTAGTATGCCTAGGAAAATGAATTGAAATTACTGGAGTTTTTGGATGTTGGATGGACCGGCACAGCCACAGGTTTGGGTACCTTAATAACATAGGGGAAAGAGAAGAGTTTTGTAGATGAGTGTCTTGAGTTTCAGATTAAGTTTGGAACGTAAAAAGAGGGCGAAATAGATGAAGTCTCGTGTTTTATTGTTTTCTTTTTTCAGTTATACGATCTTGCCAGGTCAGGCGTTTGTCAAAAATGAGGCCTAAGTATTCTACTTGGTTAGTTTGGGGGAGTAGAGTGTTGTAGAGTTTGACTGACGAGCAGTTATGTGGCCGAAGAGAAAAGGTGATGTGATTAGATTTGCTTGTAGTAATTTCAATTTTCCATTTAGTAAATCATTTTTCCAAAAGATTGGGGTGGTGTTGGGAGTTTAAAATTTGTAATAAAGGAATCAGCGTCAGATGCTAGCATACTTATACCGTCGGTAAATAGATTTGCTAGGATATTTAGAGGGGGGTATAGAATCAGTTACTGAGCTTTGTATATTGTAAGTTAATTACAGTACAGCTTTTTAAATATCATGCGTGTTCTTTAATGGAATATTAAGTCTAGTTTTGCTGTCTAGGACGAGTTTGATTTTTTTCAAGAGATTAGGCCTTCAATGAGACTTGATTTTTTGTTGAGAGGGGAGATTGAATTTAAAGAAAGTAATACAGTTAAGTGAGGTTCGATATTAGTATCGATTGACTTGGTGTTTGCGTAAGTGTTATGGTGTATCCTAATGAAAGGCTGAGAGGTAGACCATTGGGTTTTTAAAGGGGGAAGTTTTTTTCTTGATTGAAGTTGGCATTGATCGGGAGTCGAATTGTATAAGTGAATTTCAGTTAACTTGCTGATTTTCGGTAGATATTTTGGTTTGTTGGAGATGGCTCCAAGTCTATAAAGAATATGGGGGGTGGAGTTTTGGTTTCATACTGAACACAGTTATTAATTGACCGTACAGTGAAACCAAAAGCTTGGAGCTCTTCTTTGATAAAATTGATTGATATGGTATGGTGAAGGTGTCGAATTACTCTTGTCTACTCACTAGGAGTGCACACCTTAAATCGCGCGATATTATTAATATGTTAATTCTTACAATTGTCTTACTCTTATTTTAGGGTATGACGAAATTGGGTATAGCGTACTAAAGGAGAGCAAACCTAAAGTATAATGCACCGTCAACCTAGTTTGCTGGATGGTTAAGTTTATTTGAATACACATTATAATATGTTCAACAGTTATGAGTTAACCTCTTTTAAATGTTAATAATTTATATGTTATGGGTGTTTTAAAAGTTTTAAAAATTTAAGCAAATACTATTCTATTAAATACGTTTTATAATTATACTTTATTATTTTATTTTATGCACTTGTAAGGGTTGTTGGGTAAAGTTTTTTGAAAATAAATAACATATGAAAAATAATGTATTCTACAAACAGTATTTTTAATTTTAGTATATTACCTCGGTCAAACAAAATCAGAAAAAAATTATATCCGAATAAAAACGATTTCAATAGTAGGTCAGGATTGGACAAATAGCGAGATATTATTTTAAAAATAAAAAATAATCCTTAATGAATCTCGAAGACTTTAGATAACAAAAAATTAGAAAAAAGAGTCGATTTTTGGGAGAATACGGGGGAGGGGTGCCGATTCTACTAGATTCGTTTATGAACTTGTGCTTAAATTATACATTTTCAGGTAAGAAAATAAAGCCGAATTTCATTTGAAAATTTCACTTTCTTGTAATTAAATTAATTTTATTTGCAGTTTATTCAATATGTATACCCAATTGATTTACCTAAAAAAAATCAAATCTTCAAATGTCCGTTTCCTACACCACCTAGTAAAGTTGCCAAAAAGGTCCATACGATGAGCCGATAATGACGTATAGTAAGACAGATTAGTCATTAGTGACTTTGATGTAAATGTATTAATAATGTTTTCTATACATGGTAATTTTGTTTATAGGTGTTAGTTCAGATAATCAATTTTTCTTTTTCGGTTTTTATTTAATGTGATCACAATTTTTCGCATAACATTATATTTTACCCTCTCCTAAATAATTGTTTTTGTATACAACACAATTTTAAACATTTTTATTACACCGAAAAAATTAACCGGCTGATAACCAGTTTTGAATAATAATTTTTAAAGAACTTTAAATTAAAAATGTATGTCGGGAAATGAATTGCGATCTGAGTAATATGCGCATCTTTCCTAAATTACACACAATAGAACTATTTATTTAAAATTGATTATCAACTAGTCAAAATTTTAAGGACATTTTTCTCAAATCTAAGAGCTTATAAAATAAACACGTTACCAATAAAATTTCAAAAGATGATAAGGTTCTATAAGATACTAAAAAAAATTTGAATATGATCTAATATAGCATAAACAAATGTGTTTTAAAAATATGCAATATTTTTAATATTGCATTTCAAAAATGTTTTTAAAAGTTAATAATAAATTCCACATAAAAGGTGAGTGCGGTAGGGAACAGGATGCAAACCATTTGTTTGCATGTCCACTACTACTAGTGTAGAAAGGAAGACTTTTTGAAAAATGAAATTTCAGACAAGGCAATACAAATCGCTGCTTACTGGGAAGGGAATGGAATATGAAGACCAACACGACAAGAAGAAGACTAACTTTATATATTTTATTCAATTATTTTTAGAGTACATTTTTTTTATCTATTTCCTAAATAATAATGTTGACTACTTTTTGTCTATATCTAACTTTAAATTCGTTGGATTGATTTAACTTATCAGCAATTCTTCAAATCAGTAATAATTCTGTTTAGCTTGCGCTTTGGAGAGGGGGGTGCAAAATTGAAAATATTTCTTTTCGTCAACAGTGTGAAAAACAGTGGCAACGGTACTATTAGATTTTGTATATGGATCCTATTTTGTAAAAAAAATTGTATCGCCATTTAAATTTGGCTTTTGAAATTTTGCTGAATTGTAGTTTTTATACCAAAATTGTATTGTATGCGATAAAGTATGTTGTTTTTGGATATTCATTTTGTTTGTTGCACGCATCTATGTATGACCAACAGGTAACAGTTACATCTGTTTAAATAATTCAATACGAAAAATCATAACAAAACCTGTTTTTTCATTATTTCGATAAATATTTTTTAAAGCGCAATAAAAATAAAGTAGTAGTGTATAACATTGTAAACATTTAGTTAAAAATTAAACCAAAATTGGTACTGTGAATTTTCTTAAAAATCATTATGTGTATATAATAATAGCCCCCACAGTTTTTCTGACTTAAAAAATTGTACTGAGCTAGTAATATATATAAGTTTTATATGGTCAAATTCCAAATTTCATACTTCTAATTTCCACTAAATCAGTCGATTCAAATGCTTAAAATGCTTATAGTAAATTCAGACTTTAAAGATACAGTGAACGTGCACCTCCTGTTTGACATTTTTTTAAAAAAATGTATATAACAACTAGTAAAAATTTCAAAAAAAAAGGAGCCGATACTCAGTGGCTATATCATTAATGAACAAGAACGCTGTACTGTTCACACCGCACACATTGCTACACGATATTTGTAGTTAAATGTTTTTTATTAAACCGTATTAGATAATCGCTGAACTCGTAGATTGTTAATCAGGCATCAAGCATCGGTTGCCAGTTTCCCAGCAAAAAAACGCGGGTGCCCGAGAGTTAAACAAGATAATAACAGGGTGATTTTTTTATCATGAACCACTCACTATCTCATAGCGTTTAATAAGAAATACAATTTTTTTGTGCATATTGTTTTTTTACAATGTTATCTCAATTGGCTTACAATTTTTTTTGTTTCCACCCCCCTCCCAACTTAATTTTTTTTCGATAGCAACTTTTGAAACTTAAATGGAAACGTATACATTTTATTAACTTTTTAAATTGAAAATAATGTACTAAAATTTTTGACTGGTCGATTACCAGTTTTGAATTTTTCAAGTTATAAGAGTTTTAAAGTTATGATGGGAGGGGAAGTGCGGTTGGGAAATGCGCGCAGATAAAAGTAATACTACACTCTACCTTTCTTCCTGCCCTAAACTTAAAAACTTCAATAATGTGGCATTATATTTATTTCATAATATTATTGTTTTCTTTTATAAGAAAAAATTATAAAATAATTATATGGAAATAACGGGATTAAAACGGGCCGTCTTTTAAAAACGGGATAATATAATATAATTTTTAACGGCTTAAATATTATAATATTGGTTTCTAGCTCGATCGATACACTTGGACTATTGTCCCATGGATAACCCGATCATAGAAAATATACTACTTGGATCCTGTGTGAACAAATTATTTAAAAAACGACCCTTAAGGAAGAACCGCGACTTTGGTTAACAGCCTATCAAGAAGTGATAAGTCCAATTTATATCTTTTCTAGAATAAGTATTAGTAGTAATATTAATTTATATATTTTACTAAGTATATGTATGTGTGTTTTGCGTTTATTATACTCTCTAAAGCCGAATGTCGTTTATACGGAAAATAAATAAATATAATTTTTTAGATCAAACTACACAAATTAATCTATAAGAGGATTAGCAATCATATGAACTTATAAACAGAAAAATAGTAGCTAGCATTCTCAAGTTTTTTTTGTTTTTCTTATTACTATGATTCATAGCTATGAGTTTTACAGTTATTTTTTGTTTTCCGTAGGTTTACCGAATATGTTTTTTTCTTGAAAACAGAAACCGAGATCTTACAAGCTCGAATGCAAGTTATAATGTTTTTTTGTTGTGTACGTATTATAAATGTGTTGTAAAATGTAAGCCCAAGTACAAATATTAGATTCAATCGGTTTTGTAGAAATAAATACCACAAATGATAAAGTTGTGTATGCTTAAACGTATATTTGTCTTTTTAATTTACTTTTGTAACAATACCGTAGATAGATTATACAAATTAAACCCCTTCCACATTTCACTATGACATTAATTATTTATTCTTATCCAAAAGTTGGGAGGTTGTCACTTGTCAACAGTTTGTGCCCCATCCCCAAATGCTAATAAATATCATTAACCGTTGACGGGTTTGACTCAAGCCGACTGTTCTTCGCTAAGTTACTGCAAGTCAAAATAGACGGTTAAAATCCCGAACAATTTTTTATTTGACTTTTTTCCATTTAAGGAGAATAAAGAGAAAGACTCTTTGTGCTTTGGGTACATCAAAGTACCAATCGCATAAATAAAAAAAAAATTATAAAAATATAACTACTATAAATTTTATTTCTTCATGGCTATCGCATTAAAGTTAAACAATGACTGTTGTGCAAAAAAATAATTTTTGATAGCCAACATAACTCATTTTTGTTTAACGTGTTATAATACTTTAATTGTTATTGGCAAACAGAACAAAAAAACAAGCACCGCTGCTTTGCAAACTGCGTCAGTATAGTTTATGTTGGAGGTTCTCTAAGTTATAACTTGTTTTGTTGTTCGTTTCATAATTTTAATTAAAACTACTATATTACCATGATATTGTACAAGAGTTTGGTTTTATTCGTTTTTATCAATTCATTTGTCCGACCGGAAAACTTGAAACGTTGCGGCTATGCGAGGTACATGTTCTTTGTTTTATATTTAGACGAAACGTAATATTTGTGTTTAAAGTTTACCAATTGCAATGCAAATTCGCTTATAGTTATAGAAAAAACTGAGGTACGTGTAAATTAGTTACGAACTCAAGACGATCTGTCTAACAATAACGTGATAAACATATGACCAATTAGGATGTTATTAAAATGTTAATTAACATAACATTTTTTAGTTTCTAAAAAAAATTACTTTATTTAGATTTTCTAAAAATTAAAAACTACCAACACTTATTCATTTTAGCTTCGATGCTTCGACAACAGTTTTTTTTTAATTGCCGGAAAACTTTAATTTTGCAGATTGCGTATATTATAACAAAAACACCCAAAATCTTAAAAAAAAATTATTAAATAATTACAAGAATTTTATGTAGATCCATACAGAATGATTCTATTAAGTTTGAATACTCAAGTACCACTTTTAGCTTTATTATTTTCTTAAGTTTTTTTTTGCAGAGTAAAAGTGAAAACTGATATTAAATTCGTAACCACCGACCCCAATTTGACCTCTTTTAAAGTCTTTTACACAAAAATCTAGAAAAACTACAAACACGGTGTACCAGACGTGAAAATCGAACAGACGCTAATAACTGTCGGTAGGTAACGTCGACCCGTGTG